AATGTTCTTATTAACTATTTATTAATTGTAAAATTGAAATGAATGAAGTGAAGAAGCTGATAATTAACATAATACATTTCAACTACTTATTTCATCTGTATTTAAATTATTCATTCACACTTATACTTCAATATAATTGAATAATAAATAGAAATAAACAATACAATAATTGATGATATGAAAATGAAAGAAGAAGAATAGATGAAATTAACACATTTGTATCTACGAAGAAATAATAATGATTTAGTTAATTTAATCAATTTTGAAATGTGAGATTGATGAATAAAAATGAAAACAAACAATATGTTTTTTACAATGAATGATGATTGAATAACAATAAACAAATAGTTTGATGAAGTATATAATATCACATTTTATTTGTTTGATAATGAAAATGAAGAGAATGAGTAGAAGTAGTAAATAAATAAGATGAATAATAAAATGATACAGATTATTAAATAAACAACATTAATATTCTTTTATAAATACAATGTCAAATGTATTGAAATCAACAATATAAACATATATAAATGAATACATAAATGAACACATAAATAAATGATAATAAATGAAGAAAATGATAAATGAAATGATTAATAAGAAATGATCATTATAATTTGTTTAAGAATTTAACAAAATGAAAAAATAAAGATACAATAAGTAAAATGATATAGAATAAATAATATAAATAATAATAGATTTAACCATGTTCATATTCACATCTTCATTCATGTATCATTCTTATTATGAAGTGAATGTTATTAAATTATATGTAATTGTTATTATCTTTCAATTTTATATTTACTTCATCTTTTCATCTATTTTAAAATTGAAATCAAAGAAATTAAATGATAAATGAAGAATGAAGAAATATAGAATGATTAATATGTTAAAAACACTTCATTTCAAAACAGATGATTTAATAAACATGAAAATGGAATAAAATAAAAGCATAAAGAATAATAATAATAATAATAATAATAATAATAATAATAATAATAATAATAATAATAAATAACAGAGAAATAAGAAGAGAAATGAAATGATATAATAATAAAGTAAATGAATAAATAAAAAGATAAATAAAATCAATATAATATAAATAAAATAATAATAATAATAATAATAATAATAATAATAATAATAAATATAAAGAGAAAATAGATACAAAATATAAAAATATAATCAAAATGAAAATAAGATAATGAAATGTATTAATATATAATAAATTATATATAAATAAAAATATATTCATATATAAAAGAAAATATAAATAATAAGAATATCAACCTAATAAAATATGATAAATATATGATATATAGATAAAATGATGATGATGATGATGATATATATATATAATATAAGAATAAAAATAATATAATAATAAAATATATAAATAAAATACATAAATAAAATAATAATAAAATAATAATAAAAAAGTATACATACATTGAATCAAATATCATTTCTGAATCATTTATATTTCAGATCAAATGAACATAAAATGATATAAAATATAAACAAACATAATTGATTATAGAATGTTATTTAATGTACTTTTTTATTTTTTATTTTTTTTAGGAGCAAAATAATAAAAATTAATTTATTTTATTATGCAAAATATTTTGCCCGAAAATGAAATAACACAATATTTAATTGAAAAAAAAATGGAATTAAAAATAAATATAGTTGAATTAAAAATATATATTATCAAAGAAGAAGGAACAGATGAAACAATTACAAAATTACATAGAACATGAACAAACAGTTCATTACTTGAAATAGGATGATAATTGTAATGAATATTAATAGGAAATATATGAAAATAAATGTTTAAAGAATAGTATAACAATTATATGTAAAAGAAAAGAAATTGAACGAGTTAGATTAACATGAAATATTAGAGAAATTATATATGAAAGTTAGATGAAGAAATAACTGTTGTGATAGATAAAATAATAAGAATGAATAAAAGTACATACGGAATATATCAGAATAAAGAAAATGAGTGATTAATTAGAAATAGTTAGAACAAAGGAAATAAAAAGTATTTAATAAACAAGATAATAGAAGAGTAAAAGGATGTGATAAATTAATTAGTTTGATTTAATATTTTAGCTATTTTCAATGCTTGGTCATGAGATATTGAATTCATATCAACATGGATAGAAATTAAACAATCACCATTAAATAAAAAGTTCTTTTTCAATCCTTCACCTTTGATTCGAATAACTTGACCATCGCTTGTAACCCCATTTTGTTCAATAAATATTTGATGACCATCTAAGTGGGAGATTTGTTTTTTAAATCCTAATAATGCATCTTTCATAGTAATTGTTAGATTGGTTAATAAATCATCACCTTGACGTTTAAAGTTCTTCTCTTCATCATTAACAGTTAATAATAAAAGAAGAGTACTACCCATTTCACCCATATTTTTTATCTTGATAATATCTCCAGTTTTACTACCTTTAGGAATGGCAATATTAAATTCTTTGGTTTCAGATACTTTTCCACTTCCATTACACTTCTTACATTTTTCTGTGATTTCTTCTCCACTCCCTCCACAAATAGGACAGCTAGTTAAATGTTCATAAGTAAATAATCCAAGTCTTAAATTTTCTTTAACCACACCCTTTCCACCACATTTTGAACATTTATGAATGGCATGTGAATGTGCAGCACCACTTCCATTACATAATGGACATTGAATATTCCGGGTTATAACTCTTTTAATTGTATTTCCACTATAAGCATCAGTTAAAGTAATTCCAATTTTTAATTTAGTAGAATGAGAATTAGACGGAATAAAGTAAGTTTTTAAAAAGGGGAAAAGAATAAGAATAATAATAGCTAAGAATGTAACAAGTAATGGAAATATAAGAAAGGCAAGAGAATTAAAATCAGGAGTAATGTCAGATTGAGGGTGTCGTGGTATTTGATGCATAGATAAATAAGAAATAGATAAAAGAAATAAGAAATAAAAAGAAATAAAAAAAAAGAGAAAGAAAGAAAAAAAAAAAAGAAATAATAGAAAATGGCAAGAAATGCAGAATTCATTATTCATGATAGATATAAATTAGAAAAGAAATTAGGAGGAGGATCATTTGGAGATGTTTTTCAAGGAACAGACTTAGAGACAGGACAATCAGTTGCTATAAAAATTGAATTAAAAAAATGTAAACATCCTCAACTTAAAGCAGAGGCACAACTTTATTCATACCTTGCAGAAGGAGAAACAAATCCACCAGGAATTACAAAAGTTTATTATTCAGGAGAACAAGATGATTATAATGTAATGGTAATGGAATTTCTTGGACCATCATTAGAAGATCTTTTTCAATATGTTGGACATCCATTTTCATTAAAAACAGTATTAATGATTGTAGATCAATGTTTAAGATGTATTGAACATGTCCATAAAAAAGGATATATTCATAGAGATATTAAACCAGATAATTTTGTTATGGGAAGTGATAAAAATGTTCATTTTGTATATATAATTGATTTTGGATTAAGTAAAAAATATATTGAAAATGGAAAACATATTGCATATAGTGAAGATAAATCATTAACAGGAACAGCAAGATATGCATCTATTAATAATCATAAAGGATATGAACAAAGTAGAAGAGATGATTTAGAAAGTTTAGCATATATGTTTATATATTTTCTCAAAGGAAAATTACCATGGCAAGGTTTTAATAGACAAAATAATACTGAAAAATTTGATAAAATTTGTAAAAAAAAAATGGAAATTCCATTAGAGGAATTATGTGAAAATCTTCCTGTTGAATTTGCTTCATTTCTTTCTTATGCAAGAAGTCTTAGATTTGAAGAAGAACCAAAATATCAATTTTGGAGAGAAGTCTTTCAAAATGTAGCTAGAGAAAATGATATTGAATATGATGGTGAATTTGATTGGTATTTAACTAAACAAAAATAATTCTATTTCAATTATCTTTTTTTTTGTTTTGTCTGTTTTTTTTTTAAAGACTTATTTCATTTATTCTTGTTTAATTAATTGTTTTTTTATTCACTATTTATTTGATTCTTTTAACATTTGTATCTTTCATATCATTTGAATGAATGACAAACAAATAATCATATTAATTCCACAAAATATTATCACAAAAATTAAACATCCTAATGACATTACCTTTCCATTACTATGTTGTTCAATAACGATAGGTTGATTTCCATTTCCATTAAATTGAAGTTCTATAACTTCATCTGATTCATCTGTAGTTGTACCAAATGGCAAGAACGACATATTTGTTTTATTTTGTTTTTCTTTTCTTTGGAGAGTTCCTTATTTATTGATTTTTCTTTTTTTATTTTCTAAAATTGTTATTCATCCCTATTTTTATTATTTCTTTGTTTTTCTCTTTTATTTTCAATTTTATTTTTATCTTTTGTTATTTCTTTTTTCTTTATTAATTGACTTCTTTTTTATGTTTTATTGAAACACTGTCTTATTCTATCTTTTTCTTTTTATTAACTTCTTCTTCATTCTTACTCTTTTCTTCTATCTTAATTATGATTTCCTTTTTTTTATTATTCTTTATCTATTCATTTGAATATTTACAAAAGTACTATTGGAAATAATCTATGAATTTATTCAAAATCAAGAGGTTAATTTTATTGTTAATTCTTTTGATTTGTTACAAGATTCCTATGATGATTTATAGTGATTTGTTATCTTATCTCTTTATCACTTTCCTTCATCTTTTTATATCAATTTGTTATAAAGTTAATGTAATAAAAATAAGTATTAATATAATAATTATTTCATTAAATTGATTTAAAAAGAGTTTACATGAAACCAATAAATTATTTTAATGAGTATAATATCAAATTACACAGAAATTACAACATTTATAAATAACTAATTATCATAAACAATATAATATTTTTTAAACTATTTTAAATGAACAATAACTACCACATTATATTTAATTAACATAATTATTATCTTTAACTATACTGTTTCATTGCTTCAAATATTGAACAACATTCTATATAAAATACCATTAATTTTAAATTATTGTTTGATACTAATTCTTTTTATTGTTGTACTAATTGAAACAATCATTCTAATATAATCAAAAAGTAAATAAAAGCATTAAATTGTTGAGAAGCAAATCTTATTATTTAATTAAACTCAACTGGTTATCTGACATTTTATTTTATTATCACATATTGATTGTAGTTTTCATCACTTTTAATAATTAATATATCATATTTTACAGTGTCTTTCTAAATCAAAGTTTTATACTATTTTCGAAATCATTTCTAATTTATAAAATAATCTTTGTTTTCTTATTAAATTCCTTACCTTCCAAATATTTGTTTTTACGACAAGATACTAGTTTATATTTCTTATGTTAATATGTTATAATTAGTTATTTTATTGTTTTTATTCTTATGTTCCAATAAAATAATTATTACTTGTAACATTAATTGTTGATAAATGATGGGTATATCATTTTATACTCAAAACAAATAATATTTTAATACTTGTGATATTTTTTCTCTTATTCATGTATCTGTTGATTATATCTTAAAATCTTTTTTAAATTAAAAATGCCTTTAATTCATTCTATGTTTGATTAAGTAATAGTTGAATTAATTTTTGTGTAAATTTTTATTATAATAATATCTTATTTATTAGTTTTAAATAACTATATTCAAATCACCAAGACTATGCGAATTTAATACTTATTATATGTAATCAAATAAAAGTATTTATGTAGGTTCGAGTCCTTTATAAAAAAAATTACCTATTTTTGATATTATTGACTATTACTAAATATTTTTTCAATCATTTTAATGACTTCTTCTTATATTCTATTATCTCATATTTGATTTATAAAATTTATTACAGTCATTACTCAAGAAGTTTATTTATCATATTAATAGTTTTACATTCATTTTTTGATGGAGGTACAAGCCAATCTTTCCGTTGACCTTCTGTAGTATTAGACAACATTCAACAAAGAATTCATTCTTTTTCATACTCCATTTTATTTAATTATTATTCTTTATGAATTTATTGTAAAGCGCAAGTGTATTACTAATATTATAATCATATTATAATAATAGAATGATATTTTATCAAATTTCTTATATTAGGTATCATGGTTTTATTTAATATTCTTTATTTATTGAAGGATAGTGCTTATTGTATTAACATTTAATTTATAAATTTGTTTTATTTATGGAAATAGAAAATGAATAACATAGATGTTCAGAATATAAAACCACATGGCAGTACATTCCATTTTATTTAATTTTTTATTAACATTACTGACGCTTTACATTTGTACTAATTTCTGCTTCTTTTGATTTAGATTTGGATTAAGTTAAAAGATAGATTTTTTTCGAAGTACATTGAATATTCAAAATAATAATTTTTGAAGATGGAGTTGTAAAATAATAATGAAATCGTTCTAACAATTATTCTTTATCTAACAAATTCTCTTGGTTGCTTATGAATAAGTATTATTTCTAATGACTAATTTATCCAATTTTCTTATATTCAAATATTTAATCATTATCAAAAGACATACCTGAAAGGAATAATAAGAATAATAAAAAAACTCTCATTTGAAAATAAGAAATTAGAGAAAGTAAGTAAAGAAAAGAAGTTTGTAAGAGATATAACAAGAATGGCAAGATTTAATAAAAAAGAAATCAAAGAGATTAATGTATTGATAAACAAAAAATAAAAGAGAGAAAAGAAGAGTTGAATAAGAAATGATTCAAGTTTATGAAGATAATGAAAAATAAGAAAGATATTGAAAAGGAATTTATGAGAAAAGAAAAGATGAAATAAAGAATAAGAAGGAGTTCAGTTAATAGAATCAAGAAGTAAAGATTGAATTAGTTAAAAGGATAAAAGAAAAGGAGGGATTAGAACCAAAACAAATAAGAAGATAAAGATCATAAGAAGAGTAAAACCGAATTTTTTACCAATAGCAACATTTGTGTTATTAAATGATAATAAGAGATGAATGATGATGAGAAAGAATAAACTTCCAATAGAAAATTCTAATACATTTGGAGAAACAAGTAGAAGACTATTGATAGAACTAGGTTTAATTAAGTAAATAAATACTA